CTCAATATGGTTTTGTCATTACTCGATGTGGTTTCACCATTATTTAATGTGGTTGTGTCATTAGTCAATGTGGTTTTAACATTACTTGATGTGAATGTGACTTAACGTTATGTAGTTGTCTCATTATATGATGTGGTTTTGTTATTTTGTAATGATGATTTGCATTTTCTTTATATGGTTTTAGCATTACGTAATGATGTTTCAAAATTTGACGATTTTACACTACATGATGTGTTTGTTTCATTATTTGATGTGGTCCTGTCATTCTTTGATGTGGTTATCCCATTACTTGATGAGGTAAAATCACGTGACCAATTCGGAAAAACCTGTTTTATTTTTAGATAGATTTCCATGTTGTGTGTGCCTTGGATGAGTGTGGCCATCCATCGAATTAGAGTTCAAATTAAAGTTCGGGTTACTGTTTGAGTTATACTTTGAGATAGTCTTCGATTTCGAATTCAAGTCATTATTAGAATTAAAGTTTTAGTTAGCATTGAGTTTCGAGTTGGACTTCGAGTTTGAGCCACATTAAAAGGTAGAGTTCTAGTTACAACATTACATTTGAGTCACTTTTTGAGTTTGAGTAAGATTCCAATTTAAGTCTCATTCAGATTAATTAAGATTTTGAGTTGAAGTTCGAGCTATCTTATATGAGGTCGTAATTAATTTTCTATCGCGGAACAAGGACTTTTGCTCGGGCTTCCGAAAAGAGGGCTCCTGGGTTTGCGTACAAAAGATAAACAATGTTACAGTATACAAAACGCAACATACATGTAGAAGTTGAAATAAAGTTAGATGTGGTGTGATTGACAATGAGACAACTATCCACCAGAGTTTAAATGCAGTGGGTGTAAGAAATCATATATAGGCAACCGTACAGCCTTCAACACACCGTAGAGTCATGTCAGCTACAAAAGGCCACCATGCACTATGTGAAAAAATTCAAACGACAAAACAAACGGTTTTATTTATATTTAAACAATCTACAAAAAAATGACACACATTTATACAACGGCAACAATTGAACGTCAAGCTCCTGACTTGGGGCAGGTACATAAAGAAAGTGCACGTGGCGGAGTTTAACATGTATGTGAGCGCTAAATCCTAACCTTACATCGGACTGTTACAGTTGTGTAACAGCACAAAACGAGAAAAAATGTTAATTAGACAAAGTGATGCCCCCGCACTCAACTCATTTAAATTAATCGCTTATACCCCAAAAAATTACAAAAAAAAAGTTCAACTATCTCCCAAAAGAGCAAATATTAATAAACATTAAACCCTGACCACATACACACCTTCAATACATGTACAAACAGACAGTAAAGAGAAAACTTCCTTGGATTCAAACTGTAGGAGGAGTTATGCGGAATAACTATATATCCATAATGGGACGGACAGACGGACGAACAGGGGAAAAACATTATGCACCCAATTTTCAGCTGCGGTGGCATACAAATCAGTTTCATTTGGCTGACTCAATAGATCAGTATGACTGGGTAATATAAATCCGTCGGGGTGATCTCGGTTGCTCCAGAAAGACACTCGTCGTGTTATTCGAGAAAGTACAAACCCAGTGATTTGGTTTTATTTGGTAGTTCACATTCAAGGAAAAGATGACGGTATTATGGTTACGACCACTGGAACATGTCCGTCGTCACATGTGAAACAGATATTCCAAAAAGTTTATTTTTCAATTAGTGCGAGGTAGATCAGGGAATTCAATTGATTACAAATAAAAAATTAAGTCCGAGCCCATCCCCCCCCCCCCCCCCCCCCCTTTCCCTGTAACTTTAGTGTGAGTTGATTTGAAGTGTTTCATTTGTTAACAATAAAGTTCAAGTCTTTTGATTTGTGTCGAGCCTGCGACATCAATGTAGCGGCAGTGAGACACAACAAACCTATATTTCGTCGTCGATTGTGGCGTCGGCGTCTCCATCTCCATTTTTTTTTAATTTCTATCGAGTTTAATCTTTCATTATACATGTTACTCAACATGTATGCCATCATAATTTTGTACTTTTAAAATATCATACTGTATTTGTTTACCTCAACTATTGGATCTGTATTTATATTGTATGTTTCTCTGTAAACTTGTAATTAGTTTTTAGAGAATAAAGTATCTATCTATCTATCTATCTATAGATCGTTAGGTTTCTAGTTTTTTACATTTTTCATTTCGGAACCGTTTATAGCTTACTATAGGGTATATGTTTTGCTTATCGTTGAAAACCATACAGTTTTGTTTTAGTTAAATAAAACCGAATTAAACTGTTTTGACATGATGAATTTGTAAACCTCCATGAAGTGTTTTAAAAATTGTATAGGAGTTATTCCTCAGTTTCAAGAAAAAGCATTTACAGAAAAACATTTTTTTTTAATTTTTTTTTTACCGATAAATGTATAGATAAGTGTACAACCGATCGGCATGCCGCTTTTACACTTACAGCAGCAATATCAGGCGAGACACAGGGTTCCGTGGAATATTTTACAAATTTATTACAAAAATACTGCTTCCGTTTGAGAACTTAGGATAAAAACAACAAGACCAAGTGGTTTGGGGATATCCCAATTATGTCCGAAATACTGTAAACTTTTTAATACTTTTTTTCTTATTATTGTCTGCCGTTCCCCTTTTTCATATCAAATAATTGAACAACCACTCGAACTTTAATTTGAACTTTAACTCAATGGATAGCGATACCCATCCAAAGCACATTAAACAAATGATATATTGAAATCTGTTTAAAAATAGAACATATTTTTTTCCGAATTGGTCACGTGATTTTACCTCATCAAGTAATGGGATAACCACATCAAAGAATGACAGGACCACATCAAATAATGAAACAAACACATCATGTTGTGTAAAATCGTCAAATTTTGAAACATCATTACGTAATGTTAAAACCATATAAAGAATAGGCAAATCATCATTACAAAATAACAAAACCACATCATGTAATGAAACAATTACATAACGTTAAGTCACATTCACATCAAGTAATGTTAAAACCACATTGATTAATGACACAACCACAATAAATAATGGTGAAACCACATCGAGTAATGACAAAACCATATTGAGTCAATACGAAACCATATCGTGTAATATCGAAATATCATTAAATAATGACTATTCCATATTGAGTTATATCAAAACATCATTACATAATGCCAAAACCATATTAAGTAAAGACAAAATATCATCAAGTAATAATAAAACAACATAAAGTAATAACAGAGTTCCACATAAGACATCTGTGGCGTTCCATATTATCATCTTCCAAGGTTCCATACCAATACTTGGCCAACTACAAAATAAAGATATAAACATTTCTTATAAACTTGACTATCCAGATTGTCAGGCTTACTGGAAGTCCTTTGATTTGTATTGTCTACAAATATAGTCCCAAGCGTGGACAGTTTGTATCTTGCAGATTTTTTTCATACACCCCCCAAATTCATTTCTTTATCTTTAATGCACAAAATAGTAAGAAGAGGAATGAAATTACATGTTAAATTAATGAATGATGTGTCCATGGGACACCGATGCCTACTTGAAAATATATGACAAATTTCTGATTTTTTTTCAATTTACAAAGGGACATAACTCAAGAACCGCAAAAGTGAATCCAACAAAATTTTAACTTGATCTGGTGGTTATAAGCATTGTGTATATATGTTTTAAAACATTTGGTTGAGGCAAACTAAAATTAGAGTGCAGAAACAGCAAATATATCACCTTTTTCCAATAATAAAGGGACATTACTCCAGTACAGTGAAAGTGCCACTACCCAAATTCAAACATAATATATATTTGGTGGTAATAAGCATTGTGTATAAGTTTTATAACATTTGGTGGAGACAAACTAAAGTTAGAGAACGGAAACTTATTTTGAGACGTACAGGCGGATAAGGGTAAAACTAACTGCCCCCTCCACAACAGTTGGAAGGCATTTTTTTGTTATGGCAATTACCCATACAATTGCATTTTACTTTGAATTTTAACTATGTTACCTGCAGCAACCAATACAAAAATAATTCAAGTGCCTTCAAATCCCCCACCATATATTTGTTTCTAAAGTAGCCCTTCATATATAAGTGTTGTATATAGATTTGAATATGTAGCTACTATTTATGCCTTAGTTAATGCATGAGGCACCATTTTTTTTATAATTTGGCATAGGGTGATTATTTATACTTTACTGTGCAAAGTGAAATAAGACAAAATCTGTTTATAAATAGAGTATTTAAAAAGGTACAATAAAAACGCTTTTATGTACAAGGAGAGACAATTCAAGTTATTTTCATGTAAACCAGTTATCAAGCCAATTTTGTTATGTTAATTCCTTCCTAATTTCAAAAAGAAAAAGAGTCATATCCAATCTTTTTGGTACTCCACCAAAATTGACACAAATTTCCAATTTTAAAAGGTGTTTAAATTCTACATGAACTTGAAGATTATCTTGTGATTTGTATTTGAAATACCGAGATTCAAAAATTATTATTGTAGAATTGTAACAGGAGACAATCTTACAATTTTGATGTTTGTGGATATTTAGGCAGAAATACCCTAAACACAGCGGAGGTGTTCATGGCCTCTACAGATACATTTTTGTTTTATATAAGGGGAGATAATCTAACCTTTTTTGTGACATGGTATCTGTTGGCAGGAATACTCCAAGTAAAGCAGATGCTATAGAGGTGTTCATGGCATTAAAAGATACATTTCTTCTTTATGTAAGGGGAGATAATCTTACTTTTTTGGTGTCATGGTATCTGTGGACAGGAATACTCCACCTAGAGCAGAGGCTAAAGAGGTGTTCATGGCACCAAAAGAAACATGGTCACTTAATGTTAGGGGAGACAATCTTACCTCTTTGATGTCGTAGATATTAAGGCAGACATATCCAAAATACAGAATAGGTGTTCATGGCATCGAAAGATACATTTTTGTTGTATATAAGGGGAGATAATCTAACCCTTTTGGTGTGATGGTATCTGTGGGCAGGAATACTCCACCTAGAGCAGATGCTATAGAGGTGTTCATGGTATCAAAAGAAACATGGTCACTTTATGTAAGGGGATATAATCTAACCTTTTTGGTGTCATGGTATCTGTAGGCAGGAATACCCCACATAGAGCAGATGCTATAGAGGTGTTCATGGCATCAAAAGAAACACTCTCCATCTTTCTCTGCAGTTTTCCGAGAACGTCATCGTTATAGGTCAGAACAACACAGTCAGTATTCCTGAAATAGAATCATCTTTATGGTTATATCTCTGAAATAGAAACTGTATTTGTAGAATATCAGTTAAACTGAAAAAATATAAGGTTATATAGTATGGTTCTAAATTTTACTAAAACATTAAAGAGATTGAATTTTAATGCCACTATCAACACTGTTGTGCTATTTGGTGGTGGTCAGTTTTTATTTGTGGATGAAGCCAGAGTTCCTAGAGAACCACTGACAACCTCAGTGTTGACAGGCTAGTGATACAGTAGATTGACTACTTTCACCACTCGGGCTCATAGGCCCTTACATAAAGGAGAAATTGAAAAAATATATTACAATGCAGAAAACTAAGAAGCTGGCAAAAAAAAATAACACCAGTTAGTGTTGGGACAAATTAGAAACAACTTATTAGTTGAATGAGGCCCCATAAATAACATTAATTCATAGAGGACTTGACAGCAATTTATGTTTTAAGAAATAATATAAAAAATACGCTGATGAAAATAAAACCCTAAAATTGGGATCACAAAAAGAATCTCTAGATTTAAAATTGATTATCTTTTTTTAGCATTTTAAATTTTTTAATTTCTAGGATTAAACCTAATCGCAGGTTTTGTTTTCTTGTTTTTCTTGTTCTTAAATTTCCTTTAAGATCAGATTAAGTGAGGTTGTGTTAGCAGGATATTGTGTATTTTAATTATAAAATTTCCCACATAATATTACTTGTAATTTTACCTTTGAAGGTATGACAGTGTTAGCAAAGCATTATAGTTCTGTAACGGACTTTCTCCTGTCAAACATGGTGCCACAGTACAGGAAATCAGGTGTTTCATGGGATATTCCTCCCTCATGGCCTCACACAGACGAGATCCTAATCCTAAAATATACAAATGTATGTAAGGTTCTACTTTGGAGTGAACCCCAGAGTACAGGAAATCAGATGATTCATGGGATATTCCCCCTTCATGGCCTCACACAGACGAGATCCTAATCCTATAAATATACAAATCTATGTAAGGTTCTGTTTAGGAATGATCCCCACAGTACAGGAATTCATATAGTTCATGGGATATTCCTCCCTCATGGTGCCACACAGAAGAGATCCTAATCCTACAAATTATACAAGTCTATGTAAGGATCTGTTTAGGAATGATCCCAACAGTACAGGAAATCAGATGGTTCATGGGATATTCCTCCCTAACAGCCTCACACTGACACAAACAAGATCCTAATCTAAAAAATACTGTAAACTGATATATTATTGCAAGGTTCATATTAATGCAAATAATGTGACTTCGTGAGTATCGAAATAATAAGAACTTGCATTCTAATATCTGATACATATATCTGTATGCAGATTTTTCATAAAATGGCAGTAATTAGTCTCACATTTTTTCAAACAAAAAAAAACAGCAAAAATAAATGCAAGCAATTATTTCTGAATTTACAGTATAAAAATATAATGATGTAAGGTTCTGTTTGGGAATGATCCCCACAGTACAGGACATCAGATGGTTCATGGGATATTCTTCCCTCATTGCCTCAAACAGAAAAGATCCTAATCCTAGATTTAGATCTATATTCAGTTATGCTTTGCATTTCCACAAACCACAAAATTGAATACTGTAAATTCAGAAATTATTGTGAGGTGTTTATAAATGCCAATAATGCAACTGGCTGATCATGAGTATCGCAATATAAATAAGAACATATGATACATATGTATATTTATGAAGCTTTTCCTAAAATTGCAATTATAAAGCGTGCATTTTTGTTAATTCTTCAAAAATCTTTATAATAAATGTATACAATAATTTCTATATTAACAATATTAGATTGGGCATATAGAACAGGAACATCATAACACCTTGCAATTGGTTTGGGTTGCCTCCCTTAGCCCAATAACTTTCTATATGGAAATAATGTTATTGAGAAAACAATTGCACTGATGCATTTTCTTTTTTTAGAAATTCAGACTCAAAAGTTAAAGTATATGACTATGTGGATTATGTTAAAAAAAAGTTGTTTTTTTTAAAAGTTGATATATAATTTTGCAGATTGTAAATTTGAAAACTAGTCTCAGCCAAAAATAAATTAAAGCATTGATGAAACATAGAAATGTCAAAAAATTTCATTTAAAGGACAAGGGGAGATAATATTTTGTTTTTAACTCATTCATGTAAGCTGTAGTTATACATACATATACTAACCTGACCCTGTACACCTGTCAAACTGTGCATCATTATACAACCACTGTACATGTCACATCTGTATATAATACCTACCTGACCCTGTACCACCAGTTTAACTGTGCATCATAATACAACCACTGTACATGTCACATCTGTATATAATACCTACCTGATTCTGTACCACCAGTCAAACTGTGCATCATAATACAACCACTGTACATGTCACATCTGTATATAATACCTACCTGATTCTGTACCACCAGTTAAACTGTGCATCATTATACAACCACTGTACATGTCAAATCTGTATATAATACCTACCTGATCCTGTACCACCTGTCAAACTGTGCATCATAATACAACCACTGTACATGTCACATCTGTATATAATACCAACCTGATCCTGTACCACCAGTCAAACTGTGCATCATTATACAACCACTGTTCATGTCACATCTGTATATAATACCAACCTGACCCTGTACCACCAGTTAAACTGTGCATCATTATACAACCACTGTTCATGTCACATCTGTATATAATACCTACCTGATCCTGTACCACCAGTTAAACTGTGCATCATAATACAACCACTGTACATGTCACATCTGTTTATAATACCTACCTGATCATGTACCACCAGTTAAACTGTGCATCATAATACAACCACTGTACATGTCACATCTGTATACAATACCTACCTGATCCTGTACCACCAGTTAAACTGTGCATCATTATACAACCACTGTACATGTCACATCTGTATACAATACCTACCTGACCCTGTACCACCAGTCAAACTGTGCATCACAATACAACCACTGTACATGTCACATCTGTATATAATACAAACCTGATCCTGTACCACCAGTCAAACTGTGCATCATTATACACCCACTGTACATGTCACATCTGTAAAAAAAATAAATGAACTTCATCACTCAACAACTTCCTTTTTAGCGAAATATTTGGGTGGAGGTATCATCAGTGAGCTGTAGCTCACAATTTCACTTGTTTTTCCTCATTCCTTGAAAATAAGTACTTAAGAAAATAAATAACAAGAAAGTATTTGTCTTTTTCCGTAAATGTTTTATAAATATGTACCACTTGGATCTTTCCTTATTATACTGCATCAAGTTGATTCGAAAATTGCAAAATTAAATAGCTGAGAAGTGGACTAGATAGGGTAAGAAATGAAATACTGTAAATTCAGAAATTATTGCGATGTTTTTATTATAGCAAAAAATGCGTCAAGGTTATAATCCAAATAATTAAAACTCACATTTTGAAATTATTTTATATTAATTAAACAAGATTTTTATCAATATCGCAAAAATTAAATTTAAATCGCATTGTAGTGTAAAATGACAAAATTGCAATAATAAATGCATGCAATAATTTCTGAATTTACAGTAAAGTATTCGTGAAAATAAGTTGGTTTACAGTATTGTAATATATTGGCATTAAATGCTTTTGTATATAGTTTGGACCTTGTGTTTGAAAATCAGCATCAAGTCAGTAACTTTGACCTTGTGTTACAGTTCAGTACTTGTCCATTGGGCTTTAAGGATGTTTGGGGAATTCTGAAGGCCAAATACTTGTATATTTTTTTGTCTTGTTAGGGTTCTGTCAAAATGAAAATATCTATGCATCATTAAAAGTTCCTGTATTCTGATCAACAGACAAAAATATGAAAAAAATGAGATCAAAATAACAATTATAGCAATACTAACATGACTATTGTTATCACGTTTTCTGCAATAAAAATATTGTTACCTCTCAATTTCTTTCCTGACTTGGTTGGCAGTATCCTCTAGTATGTGATCTTCTCCACTCTTCATAAGTCCATGGTAACCTATAAATCATGCAAGGAAACCTTTGTGAGTCTTTCAAGAAAAAAAATGTGTTGGTGATCATCCCCAAATAATACATGATGTATAGATTATCGTTGATCATCTCAACGAGATTGATTTTCTCGCTTGAGCCAGTACGGTGAAAGTGAGAAAGGCAATCAAGTTGAGATGACCAATGATAATCTGTTAATCGCTATTTTACCTATGACGACGTTGTAAATTTCATGTCAATTTTATTAGCAACGCTGCGTGCCCCTTAGTTTCTAGCGATAATTTCTCATATCACTGGACTCCGCTGAAAAAGGAAATTATCAGTCAGCAAGATCAAAGGAAAATTTTGTAAAATAGTGATAAAAGCAAATATCACAAAGTCCATATTTGTAGTGGAATCCACCAGACCAAAAATTAAATAGCAGATGTACATGTATGCTTTCATGTCCTGCAAAGGAATTTCTGCAAATTTGGTGGAACTCAGTTCAGCAGTTTTTAGTCAGCTATTATTCAACTATCTTACAAATAAATGCAAGAAAATATTTTTACATGTACAGTTAATCAAAGAGTGATTGAATAGAGGGAAACAGCTCTTGCATTGTCATGCCGATATATATATACCTAATGCCCAATTTGTTCCTCTTCCTCTCTTTCCAGATACAATGCTTCCATCTCTGTAAAAAAATAAATAGTTATGAGCCTTGACAAAGCCAGGAACCCCAGACCATCAGTGGCAACATCTTCCTTAGAACATTTAAAAGATCAGGGTTGACTGAAAGAATAGTGTTCATGAATTTTGATGGACATGGCTTATATAGAGAACTAGTTAATTTTAAGTTATAAAGGATGAGGGCCTAAATTAAAGCATGATGGGACCACCGGTATAGAATAGAATAGAATACTTTATTAATCCAATTATGGACCATTGTGGTTTTTAAATTTCATACAATGAGTACAATGATTTTTGTTATAACAATGAAATAAAAATAAAATGAAATACAACACAACACAATAGAACACTGAATAGTTATTGCATGCACATAGAAGAGAAAGTTAATATTGGAGACAATCAATAAATATGTAATGATTATTCCCCTTTAAACAGTATCTAATAATCTTTGAAGATATGGTTTATAAATTAGTAGTTGTTGTTTGTTGCTGTATATCGTTTTTCTTTTCTTTTATAGGTATATCTGTTAGTATTCTTATTTGAATTGTTTTACATTTGTCACATTTAGGTTTTTTATAGCTCGAAATGCAGTTATGGGTTTTGCTCATGAAGGTTGTACTGTGACCTAGCTATAGTTGCTGCTTTTATGTCATTTGGTCTCTGGTGGAGAGTTGTCTCATTTGAAGTTATACCACATCTAATTTTTATAGTGTCTTGTTCTTTTGCCATGTTTTAATTATTGCGAAAGATCCAGGTGTCCTAAAAATAAAAATAATAAAAACTTAATTTAAAAATTGCAATAATAATAAATCTCTCATTTCACTGTCATGACAGTATTTGTGTTTATTGATCAACAATCACAATAATAAATGCAAGCAAACATTTCTAAATTTCTAGTCCTTCATTTTAGTACTTATTCATGCTCATTTACTCACCTTATTTTGAGACCTTTACAAGCCTTTTGCACAACTTTTGGCTCACTATCTACATGTACAGATCTATGTTTTCCATCAGGGTGTATAAAAGTGTGTCTGAAATAGCAAAAAAAGAGATGTATGTGATGGTAAAACAAAAAGACAAATGAATTAGCACAGCCCCACTCCTTCGATCTCAATGCATGCATGTGTGGTTTCATTAAAAAAGTTAGGTGAATGTAAAACCAAAAGTCTTACCTTGTGTTTGCTTATTGGTGCAAAATATTTCAAGAAATATCCAAAAGAAATCATAAAATAAGATACCATACCATTTGAGGTGTGCCCAGATCTACTTTGTTTTCAAAATGATTTCCCTGATCATGCTGATTAAGTGATTTTCCAAGATACAGGAAGGTGCCATAGCAATAAATAAAACAGTCTTTCATGACGTCATAATTATTTGGACTATCGACAGGAAGGCATAAAAAAAATAAAATAAAATATCCTTTGATCATGTTCATAGCTTCAAGATGTCATAATTATTTAGACTAGACTTACATGACTAAGTGGCTGCTAATCACTACCAACAAGCTATAAAAAACTATTTGATTTTAGCATCTATTCCCACTTTGTAAATATCCTTGTAAATAGACCCATATCTCAAGTGAGACACACAGTTGGTAAACCTAGCCATACACCCTACCTGTACAATTCAAAGTATTAGATATATTCTCATATTCACAGTAGTCTAACTTCAGTACTTGATATTGTTTCATTATTTTTCTCAAAAGTACTAGATTCTTTGTTTCTCTGTATTTATCATTCTGTGTCAAAATTAGCATTAGAATGATTATTAAAATGTAATAAATTAATTAAGCATTCAAAGGAAGTAAAGATAACAAAATTAATTTTCAAAATATTTTTTTTTATAGTTCTAAGGCATGTAAGGTAGAAGAATAAAAGAATGTTATATTCTGTCTCTGATATGTATTTGCATTCAATTTGTTTTAAAATTTTATCCTTTTACAAAAGTAAACCATAAAATTAAATAGTAGATTGTGAAAGGAGACAAAAAAGGGGAAGTAACTCAAATTTGTTGTCAAACAATTTTGAAATAGACAAATTATTTATGACCTTAAGCTACGATAATTGTTGGTAATTAACAGTGTGTTTGACACCAAAGCTGTCAAGTGAAGCCATACACTTAATGGATTACTTATTTTGACAGTTAACACAACTATTTGAACTTCTTGTCTAGGAAGAATTACAGGTAACGTGTTCAATAATCACTATATGGGAAATAATCCAATTTACACAAAAAACCAGAGGTACCAGAAATTTCTGATTACGATCGAAAAGGGCATTTTTGAGACAATGGCGTCATCCAAAGAAGTGAAAAAAGGGCATGGCGTCATTTATTAAGACAAAAAGGGCATAGCGTCTATCCATGCTTAATATGCTTGGGGGAAACACTAGTCTGCGCAACCCCCCATGCAGGGACGAGTAGCCAAATTGGCATTCATAGGCTGAGCGTCCTACATCCAAAATGCCATTGGATCAGGAATGAAACATGAAATATGCATGGAAATTATCGCAATTAATGTATAAATTGATTACTACTCAGAAGTTTTGTAAACAACTATATAGTAAGTGAACAGTTTTTGTCAATAATTTTTTAAATTCTTAAAATGGAAGAGTGTGATATATTTGTGGGGAAGACATTTGAAACTTACAATTAATTGGAACAATTTGTCAAAACTACCTATCAAATGACTACATACAATTGTATAAAAGAAACTCTGAATCAATTGCAGCTTTACGGGAAACATTAATGACCGAATGACACCGTCATTATCTGAATGACACTTGGAATGACCATATGACACCTAAAAATTTTATTTTAGCACATATTGCTGCTTTTTAAACTTTGATTAATAAATGATATTACATTATTATATAAGTGTATTTTATAACCTAATAAAATGCTCCGCAGGGCGCAGCTTGATACGACCGCAGAGGTTGAACCCTGAACAGTTGGGGCAAGTATGGACACAACATTCAAGCTTGATACAGCTCTGAATTTGGATTGTGATTAAATATTTGACACAGCATAGCTTTCTGACACAGAATGAATGTGGTCTAAGAACTTAAATATTTTAAATTGGACATTCACCTATTATGGTCCAATATCCAAAATCTAAATACATGGTTAGATTCAGCATATCAAAGAACCCCAAGAATTCAATTTTTGATGAAATCAAACAAAGTTTAATTTTGGACCCTTTTGACCTCAATGTGGACAAAGTTGATAACAGGGCCCAAAAATCAAAAATCTAAATACATGGTTAGATTCAGCATATCAAAGAACCCCATATATTCAATTTTTGTTGAAATCAAACAAAGTTTAATTTTGGACCCCGATTTGGACCAACTTGAAAACTGGGCCCATAATCAAAAATCTAAATACATGTTTAGATTCAGCATATCAAAGAACCCTAAAAATTCAATTTTTGTTAAAATCAAACTAAGTTTAATTTTGGACCCTTTGGACCTTAATGTAGACCAATTTGAAAACGGAACCAAAAATTAAGAATCTAAATACACGGTTAGATTGGGCATATCAAACAACCCCAATAATTCAATTTTTGATGAAATCAAACAAAGTTAAATTTTGGACCCTTTGGACCTCAATGTGGACCAATTAAAAAACGGGTTCCAAAATCCAAAAACTTAATACACAGTTAGATTCAGCATATTAAAGAACCCCAAGAATTCAAGAATAAAACCCCATTGAAATTGGTCAAGAAATAAGCAATTTATAGGAAGTATCTTCTTTTGCACAATACTGTGCAATTGAATATTTCTTGCTATTGCGCAATACTGTACAATTGACAATTTCTTGCTATTGCGCAATACTGTGCAATTGAAGATTTCTCGCTATTGCGCAATACTGTGCAATTGAAGATTTCTTGCTATTGTGCAATACTGTGCTATTGAAAATTTCTTGCTATTGCACAATACTTATTATATAATAATTTACACATCCTGTTTGGTGTGTATCTCCTACCATATCATTATTATTTGCTTTTAAATATAAATCAGAAATAACCAACTTAAAATGGAAAATTTTAAAAGAAAAAAAAAGGAAAAAAAGAAAAGAAAAAAAATCCCTCCCCCCAAATTTTTTGAACCCCCTTATGATTCATCACCCCCAAACTCAATCCCAGCCTTCCCTTTGTGGTATGGTACCTTGCAGTACAATTTCAGAGAGATCCATACACTTGAACACAAGTTATTGTCTGGAAACTAGAAAAATGCTTATTTTTGGCCCCTTTTTGGCCCCCAATTCCTAAACGTTTCGGGCAATTATCCTCAATCTCAATTCCAGCTTTCCGTTTGTGATATGGAACCTTGTAGTACAATTTCAGAAATATCCAAACACTTACACACAAGTTATTGTCATGAAACTAGAAAAATGCTTGTTTTTTGCCCCTTTTTTGGCCCCTTATTCCTAAAATTTGGAGGCAATTACCCCCAAAATCAATTACAGCCTTCCCTTTGTGATATGGAACCTTGTGGTACAATGTCAGAGAGATCCATACACTTACACACAAGTTATTGTCTGGAAGTTACAAAAATGCTTATTTTTGGCCCCTTTTTGGCCCCTAATTCCTTAACTGTTGGTACCATAACCCCCAAAATCAATCCCAGCCTTCCTTTTGTGGTATTGAACCTTATGGTAAAATTTCATGGAGATCCATTCACTTAAACTAAAGTTAGAGTGCGAAAACCAATGTGTCTTCGGACGACGCCGGACGACGCCGACGACGACGCCAACGTCATACCAATATACGACCAAAAAATTTTTAATTTTTGCGGTCGTATAAAAACATGAAAAATTATTTATTATAGCAGGTAAGTTCATAAAATTACAATTTTCAAGTGTCATTCGGTCATTCCAGGTGTCATTCAGTCTTTTGAGGTACCGGCGGCTTTACTGAGAGAAAAGAAGACCTGGAAACAGAAAAATTAAAGAAGAATTAAAGTTTAATAGAATCAATTTTTCCTGTGGGCAGAAAATTCCAAATAAATTCGACAGAAAAAAGTCCTAATACTTTGTATTTTTTTAAAGTTAGTTTTAAACGCATTTTCCGCGTTTCATTCCTTAGTCAAGTTTTTTTATGTAACTTCTGTCGAATACTCTTTTTTTCTAGTGTAAATCATTCATTTATTATGTCTGTTTATGTGATATTGTGCATGTACAATTAATTTGTCAAATATTGTATATATCCTATAAGTTGTAGCTATTATCATGATTATTATTACTATATGATTATGAGTAGTATTGAATTTATTCACTAATTGCGATCATTTCCGTGTATATTTCACGTTTCATTTTCGATCCGATGGCATTTTGGATGCAGGGACGCGTAGCCTACGGATGCCAATTTGACTACTCGTCCACGCATGCGGGGTCGCGCAGACACTGCCATTTAAGAACATATTTGATATTTTTTGTATACCCTTCATGAACAGCTTTGTCTTGTGATGTTTTCTTCCAGAAAGCCTTTCCTATTTGGTTTCCGCATTGCCCGACATGTAGAAATACTGCTGACATCTTCAGTTAAAATCTTCATTGTTCATAACATTGTCGTTGTCTAGCAAAACAGACTACAAATGAAAACCGACTAAAATCATCTCAATTTTAACGCACAAGGATAATTTTAACCGGAAGTTAAATTATACATAAAATAAATAAAAAATTGACTCCGGTAAAGAGTTTCCGCGTTTTATTTCTAAAATATATATATATATATGAAAAAATAAGGAGATGTACTTTTATTATAAAAAAGACAACTATCCAAAGTGTTCAAATGAAGCCATTATAGGCCATCGTAGGGCCATCAACAATGAGAAAAACCGTTTAGTCGGCTGTAAAATGCTTTGACATGAAAAATGTGAAACTGACGTTCGGGAAACTAATACACCTTATCGCTAATATTGGAAATCTGTCCCGGTTGACCCGAGAATCTGTCCCGCTTGAACTATGGGCGTCATACAACAATCACTTTTCCATTGTGGCTGGGACTATTATACTGTGGCGTCAGATATTTTGTATGATGACGTCAAAATTTTACGGGAACATTTGTGATGTCCAGTAGTGGCGGACAAATAGCGATAAGGTGTATATATATGACTATAAACGGCATAATTTAATACAAAACAATTCACGAAATATAAATATAAGAAACTTGATCCAACAACAACCATTAAACTACATGATCAAGACTTGTGCCATGCACATACAGAATGTGGCATAGCATATAGAGTGGGGTGCTCATTTTCGCCATAATTTTCCATGTTTTCTGTAGTTTATGTTCAGACATTTAAGTTTTTGAAGTATACTGATATTTCTATATGAAGATAACATTAAAAACGAAATATTCTAAGCTTGAAAACGTGTTTCTCTGAAAAAATTCATCTGAAAAGTTAGATTAAAGGCTATTTGAAATTTCCTGATGTTTTTTCATAGGGGGACACATATTCGCCGTTTTTACACATCTATCTAAAACCAAATAACTGCAGCTTTAAACAATATTTATCAAATCAATTTCATTATAGATGAATAGCAGACATATCAAAGGTGTAAAGAACTGAAATTTAGGGCAATCAGTCAAAGAATTACTAAGAAATACTTCTTTGAATTTTTTTTTTCATTCAGGAAATTGGCCGAAAATCGTTGTCCGTTTTTCGGTCCTTTGCGGTAAGTGCCGAAATTTTTTCTAAGTTTAAAAAATAAACATATTTGTCATAAAAATATAATTTACCGGCATATTTCTTCCATTTCAGCAATCCTTTGAAGTTTCTACACCTCAAAATCATAAAACGGCGAAATTGTGTCCCCGGCGAATATGTGCGCCCCACTCTATATGTAAACATGTTTGTGAACAACCAATCATATCCCTCTATCTAATGGACAGTGGTGTAACAGCATAACTTAAGAAAAAAGGATGAATAAATCCGATTAGACTGACATTCGTACTTTCTATGAATAGGGGCAAGTCACGTAATTTGCAACTGCACTAAGTTTTTCGGTTTTCTCTTTTTTAAGATTGGGAACTGTAAGCTCTAGTTTTAATTACGATTTTTGCTAATCTTTCAAATAATAACAAGTGTGGACACAGATCATTATTTTTTATGAAAAACCCAGAGGGCTAGAGGAGCTAGAAGGTAAACTCCTGTGTTATTTTTCATTAGTTCTTCTTTCTAAAATGTCTTCTCTAAAGCCTGGTCAAAGTAAAAAAATAAATAAAAATTAATTAATGAATATATCATGTAGCATGCAACTGAAGAGATATATTCGGAGGGCGTTTACGTATTCATTCGAAGAATAATGGCTATCTTCATCTGTAGTGCCTAATAAGTATCCCACTTAGAGTAGGTTTCAGTTGTAAATTGTCCATAACAAGCTCTCGGGTTACCTGTATGTGTTGTTGTTAGTTGCTGTCAAATAAATATTCGTAAATTCAAAATCTATAATTTTGTTATAATTTCCACACAAAACAGTTGTAGCAGTTACCTGTTTAACAAATTATACATCATCCAGTTGACAATGACGTTGCTTTTCAAATATGACAGCCTATATAGATAAGAATCAATGCTATTTTACAAATTTAAATCCCACGGGATGTACAAAACCAACACAAAAAGTCATTATTCAGTATCATTTCATAAGCATAATTATCGAGGGACATAACTCATTTCTTCTGACTTGAGCTACATGACAGCCCTCTTCCACTTAAAAAGATCTTGATCTCATACGTTGACTAACTTCTTTTTTTTTTATTGTAATGCATGTTATGAGACGGAGTTTATGGCGAAACTTGAATAATTGTGTTGTTATAAATTAGGACGTTAGGGAGCAACCATTTAACTTCAAAAGGAGGAGAGTATGTTTTCCTTTTTGTCTGAGTCAGATTTTTTTTTTTAGTTTCTCGACTCTGTCTATCAAATTATTTTTTTCTTCAAAACTTAACCCTATAAAGTATGGAGAAAATCTGGATTCAGAATTTTTTTTAGTCATCTGCTTGACCAAAATGTTTTTTTTTTCTTCATCAAATTGGGGATCAGAATATTTCTTTTAGGGGAAAACATACCTCCCCTTCTTGAAGTTGAATGATCGTTCCTTTAGTTTTCTCAAATGAATTGTTTCATATTTTGTATGTTAGGACCTTTTGTTTAACATACTATTCGGTATTGGTTTTTCTCATTGTTGAAGGCCGTACGGTTGCCTATACTTGCTTACATCAACTTCATTTGACATTGGAATATATATATATATATAGTTGTGTCATTGGCAATCATACCAGATCTCCTTATCTTTATATAAGTGATATTTGCAAATAAAAAATAACTTTAAAACAATCTGGTTGAACATGAAGTTAGGGGTTTCGTTATCACACATTATGTTGTACTAACCTCTTCATAAATATACAGATTTTGTTTTAAAGTTTGGCTGTAACTATGAATAAAAACTAAGAACATGTGATATAAATGTATGATTTCCAATGATTAAACTCTCCACCAGAGACCAAATGACATGTGAGTTAACAACTATATACAGGTCATCGTAAGGCCTCCAACAATGAGCAAAACCCATACTGGTCACCTAAAGAAAGGCTCCAAAATCAGGGGCGGATTTTATGTTAGGGGGGCGCAAACTTTAATTTTCGCCGAAATATTCTTTATTTAGCTGAGGACAACCCATGCTTTGAAAATTTTAGGGGGGGGGGGGGGGCGCACGCCCGCCACGCCCCCGCCTGAATCTGCCCCTGGAAATGGCAAATGTTAACCAATTCAAATGAGAAAACTAATGGCTTAATTTATGTTCCAGACAATGAACGAAAACAAATGTGGTCTACAGCAATCGATTGAAAGCAGAAAACGAAAACACAGACCGGACGTGGCAGAGTATTTTTACATCCCTAAAGCAAACAAGACACCAAATACAGATCTTAGAGTGCTCGCAGTTAATGGTAGCTAGTTCAAAGCCAATAACAACTAATAAAAAAAAAACATGTATCTAAGACTAAAACAGTACAATTGAAAGTACATGCAAGTCTTATTATAAGCGGCATATCACATTTTTAGCTCACCTGGCCCAAAGGGCCAAGTGAGCTTTTCTCATCACTTGGCATCCGTCGTCCGTCGTCCTGCGTCCTGCGTCCTGCGTCCGTCGTCCGTAAACTTTTACAAAAATCTTCTCCTCTGAAACTACTGGGCCAAATTTAACCAAACTTGGCCACAATCATCATTCGGGTATCTAGTTTAACAAATGTGTCCGGTGACCCGACCAACCAACCAAGATGGCCGCCATGGCTAAAAATAGAACATAGGGGTAAAATGTAGATTTTGGCTTATATCTATGAAACCAAAGCATTTAGAGCAAATCTGACGTAGGTAAAATTGTTTATCAGGTCAAGATCTATCTGCCCTGAAATTTTCAGATGAACCGGACAACCCGTTGTTGGGTTTCTGCCCCTGAATTGGTAATTTTAAGGAATTTTGCCGTTTTTGGTTATTATCTTGAATATTATTATAGATAGAGATAAACTGTAAACAGCAATAATGTTCAGCAAAGTAAGATCTACAAATAAGTCAACTAGACCAAAATGGTCAGTTGACCCTTTAAGGAGTTATTGCCCTTTATAGTAAATTTTTAACCATTTTCGTAAATTTTTGTAATCTTATTCAAAAATCTTCTCCTCTGAAACTACTAAGACAAATTTAACCAATCTTGTCTACAATCATCATTAGGGTATCTAGTTTAGAAAATGTGTCCGATGACCCCACCTGCGAACCAAGATGGCCGACATGGCTAACAAATAGTACATAGGGCAAAATGCAGTTTTTGGCTCATATCTCTGAAACCAAAGCATTTAGAGCAAATTCTTAAAGATTTTTGGCTCATATCTCTGAAACCAAAGCATTTAGAGCAAATCTGACAAAATAAACTTGTTCATTAGGTCAAGATCTATCTGCCCTAAAATTTTCTGACCAATCAAGCAACACGTTGTTGGGTTGCTGCCCCTGAATTGGTAATTTTAAGAAAATTTTGCAGCTTTTGGTTATTATCTTGAATATTATTATAGATAGAGATAAACTGTAAACAGCAATAATGTACAACAAAGTAAGATCTACAAATAAGTCAACATGACCAAAATTGTCAATTGACCCCTTAAGGAGTAATTGCCTTTTATAGTCCATTTTTTACAATTTTCATTAATTTTGTAAATTTTTGTAAATTTTTACAAAATATTTTCCACTGTAACTACTGGGCCAAGTTCATTATAGATAGAGATAATTGTAAGCAGCAAGAATGTTCAGTAAAATAAGATCTACAAACACATCACCATCACCAAAACACAATTTTGTCATGAATCCATGTGTGTCCTTTGTTTAATATGCACATAGACCAAGGTGAGCGACACAGGCTCTTTAGGGCCTCTAGTTATATTTATGGTACTGTTGTTTATAGAACCAGTAGACATAGATACGATCCATGCAAATTTGCTTATTCTTTGAATACACTTATTCTTAAGGATCAATTTAACACCGTAGTAAGATCTTTGAATGTTGTTTATAGAGCCAGTAGACATAGATACGACTCATGTAAAGTTACTTATCCTTTGAATACACTTATT